TAGAAATTATTTTCTCACAAGGAAAGAAGGTTATATTTTTACCATTTTGAGAATTAAGCGTACGAAAATTTGTACTCTTTATATGAGATTAGAAAAATGAGAAGTTAATAAAATATATATATTTTTACATGAATATTTTAATAAAATATTGGTATATGTCTTAATTTTATATGGTACAATAATTTATTAATATTTTAATAGTAGTACTTTAGGATAAGGATTTGTGGACAATTACAAGGTGACAAGGATGTCACCATGTGGCTGCATAGCAAGGAGCGATAAGTGACTAGTACAAATTATTATGTTGGTGGCGTCTTTATAGCCAATTTCTTAATGATAAAGTCATGACTTTTATTGTGTGGGTGCATGGCCATAAATAGAGAAATTCTTCACTTAAACCCATATTTTTAATGATATGAAATTGAATAAAATGGGGCTGCTCTGTATGGAACTTTGACAAACAAAAGCGAACAAAGGGGTTAGTCATGACAAGTATACATTCGTTTAGCTGTTTCGAATTCGTGTACCATCGTTAAGTCGGAAGTAGTTCGAGATTGAGGGGTAGAGAAGATTGTTCACAAATACAAGTAGGAAGATGATATTAAAGATATGTTAAGGCTAATCCTTCCTTCTTTTGGTATGATCCAGGTAAAAAAAACGTAAACGTAAAGTCCTTCCATATATAGTTCTACTCTTAGTAGTTAAGGATGTCTACGTTATTCATTTTTGTGAAATATAATTCAAAGCATTTCTAAGTATATTCTTAAGTCTCTATTGAGGCATACGAGAAAGATGTTAATGTTCATAATGTAATATTATATGTATCTTAATTTACCACCGAGCTACGGCCGGTTGGGTACTCATGCATCTTCATTTACCACCGAGCTACGGCCGGTTGGGCAATCATGCTTCTTCATTTACCATTGAGGTACGATCGGTCGAGCAGTCATGCATTTATCACCGAGCTACGGCTGGTTGTGCAATTATGCATTTACCACCGAGTTACGGCCGGTTGGGCAGTCATGCATCTTCATTTACCACGGAGCTACGGCCGGTCAGGCAATTACTGTTGATAAGTTGGGCAGTCATGTTACGATATGGATAACAGTCCCAATAGAGTCATTAAATATATAAGTATAATTAATACATATCATGGCCTCCGGTGGCACTTTAGAGGTTCAGTTTGATTCTTATCTTTCTCGTTGATGTTGACTTATTGTTATGTTTTTGTTTTACCTTACCTACTCGGTATATTATTTGTACTGACGTTCTTTTGTCGTGGACACTGTATTCATGCATGCAGGTGTAGGTAATTAGTTTGACTAGCCCTTATAGTAGATGCGGTTAGCATTCAACGAAGGATTGGTAAGACTCCACTTCAATCGGAGTGTAGTCGAGTCTATGAGTCATCGTATTGAAGTTTTGCTACAGACTTATGGGTAGGCAGGGGCCCTGTTTCGAGCATGTTTAGATGTCAAATACTCTTAGAGGCTTTGTAGATACGGGTTCATTATGTACAATATGTCAGAGGCCTCTAGGGTCCGTGTTTATTTATATTTTAAGTACGATGGTTCGTTGATACAGAATTTGCCCACTTACAGGTATATATTATGAGTTGTGGTCATGTTGGCCCATGATAGTTACAGAAGGAATGAGTTGTCAACTCAACCTATGTATGTTCTTGTTTTCGTCGAACGATCATGAGTTACAGTGTGGTTCGCTCGGGCCAGTACGGTACCGGGTGCCGGTCACGCCAGGTTTGGGGTGTGATAGTAACCACATGAGATTACTACAATTTTGTATTCATTTAGTCTCTCTGTTTGTTTAAAACTCAGCGAAGGTAAAAGAGGCAAACTTGCTCAGCTATTTTCAAATAACATTCCCAAAATCGAATCTTTGTTACTAGTATGTATTCCCTTTGCATGCTGACATTGTTGCAGTTTTTCTTGGTTCCATATCATTGGACTTGCTCATATAGCATAGTGGGACTTTCCTTTTACCTTCTCTTCCTTCTTTGCTTTCAAACTTGTTTTTACATCAACTTGAACGGCTCAGTATCAAAAGAACAAGGAACAAGCCTTAGAAGTACCAAGAATTTGAAACATCTTAGGATATGGTTCACACGAAAGACTGTATTGAGAGCAAGAAGAAAGAATCATCTAAGGCTGAAGTCCGGAGTTCTTTGAGGCAAGATATAAAGTAGATGAGAAAATTATGAGGCTCTTTCTTATCTGCTCCATCTGCAATATTGATGCGTATAGACACGCTGAGAAAAGATTTCTTATGGAGTGACAACAAACAAAATAAATGGAACAATGTCACGAGAAACTGGAGTCGGGTCTTGGAAGTAAGAATTGAAGCGCCATAATGAAAGCCTATCGCTGAAATGTCACTGGAGATTCAACAAGGAAGAAAATGCTTTTTGGAGGAGATTACTGGTGGAAAAGTTTACTTTTGAAAATCCATGGTTCAGCAATGATTCTAATGCCCCACATGGTAGAGGAACATGGAAGCATATCCTCTCTCTTGGATGTAAATTTTCTGAAAATTTTTGTTTTCTCCTCGGTAACGGTAGAAAAATCTGGATTTTGGGAGGACGCATGGTTGGTTCATTCACCTCTCAGAGACCAGTTCCAGAATAATCTACAGCACTCCTCCCTTCACAATGCAGTGATTGCTGATTTTTCACTGCTCAAGGTTGGAATCTCTCTTAGAAGGAATTTGAATGATGGGGAAGTGCCTAGGACTTGTGATTTGTTATCTATGCTCAACAACATCTCCTTAAACCATCCATAAATGGACTCCAGAACACGACGAGGACATCCAAACGATCCTTTTTCAGTGAAATCATGCAACAAAATGCCGTCTTTTACTGACAACATCAGTCGACCTTGAAAGAAAATATGGTACAATAATGCTATAATTGGCATTAGTTGGACTATGCCTTGTTTCCACTCAATATTTTCTTATGTTCTGGAACCGGATCAGATTACCAAAAAGGTCCCTCAAAATTTGGAGTACTATATCCGAAGCCTTATGGTGGCTGTCTGGTTGGAAAGGATAACTTTTTAAGGTAAAAGATAAACTTTCTTAGCCTTAAGTTTAGAGCTATTTACTTGCTAACTTTTTGGTGCAACTAGTTTTTGTGCAGGATAGAGATGCCTTGTTAGATATAATGGTGGATTGCACAACTTTAACTATGTTTTGAACCACTAGCTTAGTGCTTTTTCTCTTTAATAAAATAAATTATTACTACCAAAAAAAAAAAAAGATGAGGCTTTAGCTATTTCACCATCTTCGGCTCCTTGCTCGCTGGGGAACACTATGACCAATGAAGGTCTTGAAGATATTCTTGAATGCTTCTATGCTTCAATCTTAGCATTTACTTAAGAGTTTTAGGAATTACTTCGATGTTTGACCAAATTTTTAAAAACTGCATATTTTAAGAAGCACTTTTATCCTAATAGTTTTTCATAAAAGTACTTTGAAGAGAAGCACTTTGTGTTTGGAAAATTCATTTAGAAGGTGCTTTTCTTTTTGGTATTTGATAAAAATATGCTAATCCTTTCGAGAAGTGTTTTGAAGTGTCAAATTACGAAAAGGATATTATTAAGATTTATTTTACAATTAGTATTATTTAAATGGAGAAATAATTTTAAATATTCTTATTAAAATGAATTTAATTATGTGTTTTGTTTATTTAGATATAAAAATATATGTCAAGTTTTTAAATTAATTTAAGTACAGTTAAAACAAAAAAAAAAAAGGAAGGGGGAAAGGCTTTATTTATATTTGAGAGATATATGGGTTGAATTAATGAAATATAGTTTGCTAAAACATAAATATATTGGTAAGGATATTTATGTCTTGAAAAACTTAATCTTTTGCTTTTGGTTCTGCTTGTTGGATTTGTAGCTTCTTCCCAACAATAGAAAATTATTTTTGTTGCTGCTCAAAAATTAAAAATCGCAGATAAATAAGGATTCTTTCCCTCCGAAAATCAACGTATAGATCTCCTTCCATATTTTTAAGCATGATCAACAACAATAAATGCAAGACGGAAAGGAAATTTCATGGATGAGGTAGCAAATAAGGTGATGAAAAATAAAGAAAAAAATATGTAACATCTAAAAAATTTAAGCAAAAAGGGATATTTTTTAATGGGTATGGTTGAAAATCATTAAAAATATATAGATGAGTCAATATATAAAATTTGAGAAAGATTGGAGTGTTTTGGACTAGTTTTGAGTCAATTCGTAGTTGAAATTGCGTTTAAACAATTTCTATACGATATATGAAGCTAACATGATCTCAAGGTATACATGGATATACAGGAGATACACAAGAGATACATATTTAATATACAAGTGATACACGGGAGATTTACACGGAGATACACATATCATCTTCTTACATGTTATCTTGTGTACTTCAAATTTGACTCATATTTCAATTCAAACAACCTAAAATCTCCATCAAATCGTCCAGTTTTGGTGATGACCTGTGACGCAATAAGATGAATATACTAAGTTTTGCTCGTCTTTGTGTTATCCTGCTCAAAATCTCTTCACTTTTATTTGTAAGCAGTGAAGTGTGATCAAGGAAGCTGGAAACCCTTTCCTCTCTCCCCCTTTCTCACGCCCTCAATATACCCTTTTCTCCTCTTTTTATTTACCTACTTTTTGTAAGATCAGTTGTATGTTGAAAGCAATATTTTATTTAGCTGTTTACTTGTAGGTATAGGTTTTTATTTCTTGTTCTTTTTTCTTTTTGTCCTAACATCTGTCGTTTCAGAGGCTTGTGAGGAAAGTGGCCTGAGATAGCATTGTACAGTTGATTTGTTCATTTATTGAGGAAAGGAACTCTCATTTGATAAATTTTGAATTAAAGTATGTTATATCGCTGCAGAAGAGACTGTAGCAAGTTAAGAAAATATGTTATTTTTGTTTCTGATATTCAATGTATAAATGAATTGGGACACTGCATATTAGTTAGCTTTCTTGTAGCAGCTGCCATGGCTGATGATGGCAATCCAATGGCTGATAATGGAATTTCAATGGCTGATAGTGGCAATTCAATTCCTTCTCTCTGCCATTGCATTAAACAATTTCTTTCCAATCTCAAACGACACAAAAGCATCAATAGCACCATATTCAAATTGTTCATAGCTCAAATTCTCAAAGTAACATCCTCTGGCTTTCCCAAGTAGTGCTTTTGCCATTCTCTTCAAACCCATCTTTCCATACACATATTCTCCATAATACAACAATTCAAGTCGATTCAAATCCACAGTATTCGCCACAAAAAGCCCGTGATCACACATCAACTTCTCAGCATCTCCCTCAACCCAGACACCAACGAATGTGAAATTTGGGTTACTCAGAAATTGTGCGAGGTAACCGGGCATGGAATCTTTGTGTAGGAGTTGAAAAAGAAGGCAACGTCGGCCTACACAAAGTTGGAGAAGAGCAACTGGTTGTTTGTCTTATGGATTGAAATACGGGAGCCACTCGATATCGAGACCAATAAGAAGCTTGTGTAGTATCAACGGTATGCAAAATCCAGTCAGCGTTCTTGGTTACAGTAACCTCTATTTGTTCACTGTAGAAAGAAACTCCGTACATTTCAGCCATTGATAAACAACACTAAAACAGACAACTTTTGTTAATATGGAGTATAAATTGTGGAATGGAGTGAATAAGGGGTTTATATATATAGAAGAGAGTGAGTTTTCCTAATTAACGCGGGACTGGAAATCGGAAAGGGAAAGGGAAGTAACGTTTTGGAAGTTGCCAAATTTTTTCTTCCTATTCCTTGGTGAATTTGGTTTGCAACAAGAATTTAAAAAGCGTCAATTAAATGGGATTTTTTTGCTATAATATAATTGTAGTAGTCTATTAGTAGATAGAGCATATAAGAATTTTACTTGCCTGCTTAAAATGGGATTCGGAATTGTTTTCCTATTTTGTGTTGAATTTAGCTTTGGCGGCAAGAATGTAAAACGCGGAATTAAAATAATGTTCCGAGATTGAGATTCACACTCTTTGACATATACCCAATTTATTCCAACAACACCCATTCAAAATAAATTCTCATTTTAAAAACCCAAATTTTTTAATTCAAGCTTTAACTAAGCTTCAATGGTTGCCCGTGACATTTTCAGTTTAATCCTTCAACGCAATCTAACAAACTAACGTTTAATAGTGATTTCTAAACCGAATTAAGGTGTTCGATTCTCTAAATTGTAACTTAAAGGAATTAGAATATTAGAATATTGCTCAAGTCTAGTGTCTCAAAAAGTTTGATCTGTCTTTGTGTTTTAGCAAAATTATTTGTGTTACAAAATGACATTTGAGCTATTTCCGGTAGATATTTTGTTTTGGGCTAGTTTTGGTTGAAATTATTTAAGGACTGACAGTTCGGATAGTTTTTTCAATTTGGTTGGAATATTGGGCCAGCTGACAGAGAGTAATTTTTTCTTTAAATACTAAGCATGTCGCATTTGAAATTTTAAATAAAACTAATTTATTTCATTTAAACTCGTGCATTTTTTGGACTTTATTTTTGTCCGAAAAAGAACTAAAACTGCCCGTGTACTATACGAAATAGAATAATTATATCCTCCATTTAAAGTTGATAGCATAATTGCTCATGTCATGACTAATTGAGATCATTCCTACACTTGTCACTTGTCCATTAACAGATATATTTTTCGGATATTTTAAATCCTAANCATCCCCCCTCCTTTTCTTTAAATCATACCCCATATTAACCCTTAAAAAGAGTTGTTATGTTAGCTCAACCCTCCCATTCAGAAATTACTCGACCCTTTTGTAACGATCAGTCGTTTTGAGGATTGACATTCCGTTCAGTGATTTGAGGTCTTTAGTAACTTCATATGAAGTATTACGATTTGCATCCTAGGTTGGTTTTGGAGTTTGAGTGGTTCGGGATTGATTTGAAAGAATGATTTTGTCACGCCCGACCTCGGGGAGCGCGACCGGCGCTCAACCGGGATACTTCGGTTAAGCAAGCCTGTTAGATGCCTTCTACCCAACCTTGCCAATTAACAATATAAGAACCAGTACATGTGATAGACATGAGAAGAGTCAAGTGTTCCACAATCTTTTCCATTACTAAAGGATATTCATTTTTGATTTCCAAAATATGACAAGTTTATAGATATAATGAAAAACATGTTTACCCAAATGCCAACACTTACTAGTTTAATTCCCAACTTCATACACCACCCACAACCTGTCTACAGAGCCTCTAAGTAGAACAGAAGAGCAGTATGAATGTGCCGACGACAAGGCCCCGGTTATACCTCAAAATATAAAGTACAACGTCAAATGACATGAAGCCTGGAACAGAGTGGGGCTCACCAAAATCTGCTGAATAGAGAGTAACTGCTCACGAGGATCAAAACCGTCCGCTGATGAACCACCTGCATCCATTGAAGATGTAGCGCCCCCGAAAAAAGGGACGTTAGTACATATGAAATAGTACCAGTATGTAAAGCTAAATGTCCTCTTTCAAAATAGAATGCCAATATAAGACAGGGAAAACCATAGAAACAGCAAGTCACAATCAACAATATCCAAATGCCTAGTTAAAACATAATAATTTTCACAATACGAAAATAATATATATTTTTGGTTAGGAGATCATTTGCACCGATATACCACCGTATTTTTAGCACGGAGTCCGATCACGCCCGATCGGCTAGGCCATCTCCTCACGAACAATGTGGTTTGATATGTGATGCGAAAAAAAGTGTTACTAAGAGTAGTACCACCATGTGCGCAACATGGTGTCCGATCTCCATCCGACCGGCTAGGCCGCCTTCCCACATATGTCGTGTGGGTTGACTTTCCAATTCACAGCTAATATCAATCTCATCCCAATTAAGGGGAATAATCACAATCACCTCAATATTTCAATCTCATCCCAAATAAGGGAAATAATCACAATCCACTCCTACACTGGCACGTGTAGTTTCGGGTGTGGGCCTTATGACCCACCCTTCCTCGGTATGCTAATGATACTCTCAAAAATATTTATGTTTTGCACACAAGGGAAACAAAAATACAAATATATTTTATATTCACCTTTTAACCTTTCACATTGTATATATAGCTTCGTTAGTACTTTCAACCATTCACAACATCATTATTTCCTTAGCTTTATTAGCCATACATGTGATTTTTCATTTATGGCACAATGGTCGTATCTCATATTCCACACTTTTATTCTTTACTTTCATGGACCACCATCATAAATATCAACAAATAAAATATTTCGAAAATCACAACTTTAGGTTTATTAGTAACGAAGATTTTAAACACAATAGATTTCTTTCTAGGAAATGGAGTAAAATGATTGGCAACCGAAGCACAAGTTAAAATCATAAACATGTAACACATCATTTATTCTTGAAATACTTTTCCCCAACAAGGGCAATACACAATTTCAACTCATTAAAATATAAGAGCTCAAAACATATTGGACATACTTACAAAGCATAGCATTAGTTAAAACAGCCACATTTGGGCATAACTTGGGTACATAAGCTTTTAGGAAAATCATTTTCGAAGTCAGTTTGGAACAGTTGAATCAAGGCCTATTTCATAGCCTTTCTCACATCATTTCATTTCCTCGGCACCATTGGCCACAAGTATGACTTTCATTCTTGGAACGTTGGCCACACTTTATATCTTCAAGTCACTTCTTTCACTTTCAAGCATCCTTATAGATTATCAACAACAAGGCATTTCTACTCGAGACTTTAAATGCACATTTGAGCAACTAACCAAATTAAGGGTCTTAGGCACATGTGATTTCTTACACAATTTGACATGCTAGTTTTCATTAGAATCACGTTTTCAAATTATAATATATTAATACACAACCCACGCTTAATCACCTTCTCAAATAGTAACTCAACATAACAAGAAAGTTTGGAATATAAATTGAACATATATATCTTTTGACACAAGACATATTCAGAGTAATTAATTTATAATGAGCAACACGGGACTTACAAGGCCATTGTGGGGTTCAATTCTAAAAGAGGAGTTTAGCCAACATACCTTGTTTGAGCTTCCCTTACGTTACTACAAACGTCCCAACCTTTCTAGCAATAACAATATATAGGAAGATAGCGAAAATTGGATAATAATTAGAAGGATTCTCATGGTGTAACTCTCTTAGGAATTTTGTCAAACACCTAGTATGCAAAATGGACTACAAAGATCTACAATGGTAATCCCTTCCTCGATCAACCAATTTCAACAAGAAACTACCCAAACTAGTTCATTAACCCCACATACTACAACCTATTTTCACATGTATGGCCTATTTTCAACCCCCACAATATACTGAACTCATAACCTCTTGCATGAAAGTTTAGGAGTAGAACTTACCCGGATAGATGATAATCTAGTGATTGGCTTCCTTGATTCTTGAATATTGGTGCAAGAATATGTGATTAGAATGCTAGGTTTCCTTCTTCATTTTCTAAAATGCTCTCACCTCTCTCTAAAATCATCAGATATTTGCTTCAAAATGAGCCCCTAAGGTTATTTATCAAAATGGGGTCAGGTTATAAAAATAGGAAAATGGACCCTCCGAACTCAAGTTTGCGGTTGCATAATGGACCGCATAACAGATATGTGGTCCGCTAAATGGATCGCGAAAATGATGCCCAAAAACTGGAATGGTATGGACCGGTCTGCGACAGGTCTAAGGTCGGAGAGTGGACCGCAGAATCGCCCAATGAAATTCTTCATGCCAAAATCTACGATGGATGTGCGGACTGCGAAATGGATATGCGACCACAGAATGGGCCGCAAAACGACCTTCAAAATTCAACCATTTTTCTGCTCAACTCTGCGACAGGTTTGCAGCTCGCATAATGGATCTGCGGTCGCGAATCTAACTGCATAACTGGACCTTCATCAAAAACTTTCCACCAACACCTCGATGCACTATTCAACCCAAAACATAAGTCTACCTCGGCACCACGAAACCTTAAATTCCTTGGCGAAAATTTATGGGGTCTTACGGATTTTCAATGTGGAAGCTTAAGTTGGAAGAGTTGGCCAAGTTTGACTTTTGTGTATTTGACTTCGGATGGGACTTTTGATCATTCCGTAAGGTTCAGATGATTATTTTGTACTTGGACATAATGCCCGAATTTTTGGATGTTCCTAGAAGGTTTTGGCTCTATTTGGCGAAAGTTGGCGATTTGAAGGTTTGGAAAGTTCATAAGTTTGACCGCGAGTTGACTTTGATGATATTAGATTCAGATTGTTGTTCCGAAAGTTGGATATGTTCTGTAATGTCATTTGAAACTTGTGTGCAAAAATTGAGGTGATTCCGAGTTGTTCAGATGTGTTTGGCGTAAGTTTGGATTTTAAAATTTTGAAATAGTTCATTAAACTTGATTTGAGGTACAATTCGCGATTTTGATGTTGTTATTAGTAATTTTAGGCCTCGAGTAGGTCCGTGTTATATTTTGGGACTTGTTAGTGTGCTCGGGTGG